GGGGGGGCCCTGGGCTCCGGCAGCGCGGCCGGGGGTCGGGGGCACCGGCGGGGGTTCGCCGGGGGTCGGGGGCACCGTCCTCCGCGGGCTGGAGGCACTTTTAGGGGATCCACCGCGGCTTGGGGGCACCTCTGGGGGTTCCCCGCGGGTCGGGGCCCCCTCGGCCCCCGGCTCGGCGCGGAAGGAGTCAAAGGGCCGCGGAGAAAGGCGGAAAGCACGAACCCAAAATGGGCGGAAAAAGGGGGCAATAAAAAGCGAAGCAAAGCGAAAGCAAAAGCGGCCGCGCCCCGCACGGAAGGGGCCGCGGGTTTGGGGGGCTCGGGGGGGCTGCTGGGGGCTCGGGGCGCGGTTTTGGGGGCCCGGGGGGCCCGCAGTGAGGGGGGGGCCGCCCTCCCCGGCGGCCGCAGAACCGGCCCGACGGTCGCGGTCGGAGCCGGCGCCGGGACAAAACCGGCTCCGGCGGTTCTGGGGCGTCACCGCGGCGCCGGCACCGCCGGGATCGGGGTTCGGGGGTCCCTCAGGGTCCATCCGACCCCCCCTTCCTGCAGCAGTGACCCTCCCCACCCCTCCGGGCCGCTGTTTGGGGGGGTCTGGGGTGAGGGTTTGGCGATCAGGGGTCGGCCGGGGCTGGAAAGGGGCGCCCCGAGGGGAGCGAACTCCGGCGCTCCCCAAAAATGTCCCAAAGCGAGCGTGTCCCCAGCCCGGGGCTGCTGTGGCACCCCTCCCCCCCAAAAAACAGATGCGTCCCTGCCCTGGGGCTGCTCCGAGCCCCCCCAAAACCCCCCCAAAGCCCCGACCCCCCCAGCCCCGGGCGGCTCCCACGGTGGCGCCGGCGCTGGCTCAGTTCCCACCCTAAAAATAAAGCGGGAGCAGCGGGACGGGGCCGGAGCGCCGGGGGGGCTGTGGCGGGCTGGGGGGGGGCCCGAGCTGCTCCGGGGCTCTGCGGGACCCCCGGGTGTCCCCCCCCTCACCCCAGCCCCGCTCTGCCCCCGCGGCTCTTTGGTGCTTCCCTGGGATTTGGGGTCTCTGCGGCGTTTTCGCGGGATTTCGGGTCTCCTTTGCCGCGACTCGGGGGCATTTTTGGACGGAACCACGTGGAAACAGGTTTTCCAAGGGAGGGGTTGTTTCCACGCCCGGGAAGCGGCTCCGCGGCAGGGAATCAGCATCTGGGGATTGTTTTGCTCCCGGTTCCCCTTGTCCTGTGTGCCCTGGGGTGCGGAGGAGGAGGAGGAGCCCCTTCCTCCCATCCCATCCCATCCC